TAACTCACTGAAAATGTCGAGACAGTGTGTGATTGCAATAAAGAAGGCCAATGCTATGCTGGGGATTATTAGGAAGGGTATTGAAAACAGATCAGCCAATATCATAATGCCCCTATATAAATCAATGGTGCGACCTCATTTGGAATACTGTGTGCAATTCTGGTCACCACACCTTAAAAAGGATATTATAGCTTTGGAAAAAGTGCAGAAAAGGGCAACTCGAATGATAAAAGGGTTGGAACACTTTCCCTATGAGGAAAGGTTAAAGCGCTTAGGGCTCTTTAGCTTGGAGAAAAGACGACTGAGGGGTGACATGACTGAGGTTTACAAGATTATGCGTGGGAAAGAGCAGGTAGAGAAAGAGTTACTTTTCTCCCTTTCTCACAATACAAGAACTCGTGGGCACTCCATGAAATTGCTGAGCGGTCGGGTTAGAACAGATAAAACCCAAAGAGTGATTAACACATGGAATTCACGGCCACAGGATGTGGTGGCGGCTACAAGCATGGACGGCTTCAAAAGGGAAGCATATGGAGCAGAGGTCCATCAGTCGCTATTAGCTGCAAGGTATAGATAGGGGCTCTGGGGCAAGGGATGCTCTGTCTTCTTGGTGCTTGGGGGGGGCCAACAGTGGGAGGGCTTCTAATGTCCTGGCCCCACTGGTGGACCTCCTGATGGCACCTGATATTTTTGGCCACTGTGTGACAGTGTTGGACTAGATGGGCCTTTGGCCTGATCCAACATTGGCGTCTCTTATGTTCTTATGTTATGTAAGGTCAGAAGAAAAATGGTAGGCAGGTAATTTATATCTACTCAGGAAGGTGGGGTAGGGCTGAGTCACTATATTGTAGGAGTTCCCCAGGCTGTGAACAGGCTAATGGAGGAGCTTTCCTGAGGAGGTTCTTTTACATATGGATTGGCTGTTGGAATTCTAATCTTATCGGTAGTGCTGTTGTAAGATGTAGAGCATTCTGTGTTTTTCAGGACAGGAAACCATGCCCTATTTATTTTTAAACTCTCTTCTTTCCTGTTGAAATTGGGTTTATGTTTATGAATTTCAGTGGCTTCCCTGTGTAATCTGAGTAGATATAAATTACCTCCTTCCTCAGTAGATATAAATTGCTTGCCTACCATTTTTCTTCTCACCTTGACACAGAGAGTACGCCATCTTTCTGTGTTATACCTATGAGGATGCTAGTCACAGCTGCTGGTGAAACGTCAGGTCCTACAATGCCAAGACCACAGCCAAACAGCCCGGAAAAAATCTACAACAACTAAATTGGTCATCCAAGCTCTCAGCAAATCTTTGAATGTCTACTGCCAAGTACTAGACATTAATGGGTACTATATTAATCTTGGGGCAGGTCCTTGGAAACACAAGACATTTTTTTCCCATTGGATCCCTGGGGCTTGCAAACACGAGCGCCTCAAATGCAACTTGGAAATTTCTCGTGAAGGACGGGCTCAGGACAGGATGGCTATCAGCCTCGAGAATAACCGAGAGGCAAGGTGTTGCCTGCTCCTGCAACCATTAGATGAGCTCTAAAAGGTAAAGGTCTCCCTTGCTCAAAAGCTAGTCAAATCCGACTCTAGGGGGCAGTGCTCATCTCCGTTTCCAAGCCAAAGAGCCAGCGCTGTCTGAAGACGTTTCCATGGTCATGTGGCCAGCATGACTAAACGCTGAGGCACACGGAACGCTGTTTCCTTCCCACCGAAGTGGTACCTATTTATCTACTTGCAATTTCTTGCTTTCGAACTGCTAGGTTGGCAGGAGCCGGGGCCAGAGACGGGAGCTCACTCCGTCATGCAGCACCCGGGTCTCGAATCTGCAGCTCGGCGTCTTAACCTCTACACCACCGTGGCCCCTACATGAGTCCCAATGGAGCCCAAATGTGAAATGGGGAGGGGGCCGGTTGACTCCACTCAAGATCCCTTATGGCCTGTTCAATTGCTGGGATGGTGCACCCTTCCTGTAGGCAGAAAATCTGTCTCTGGAAAGCAGGTGGCGTAGACAAACAGAAGACCGAGACAGTGGTCTCCTTCACATCCTCCCTGAGACTCTGGACGCTCTAGGAAACTAGTCCAGCCCTGTACTGCTGCCCTCCTCATAGGGTTGCCAGCCTCCAGGTGGGACCTGGAGATCTCTTGGAATGACAACTGCTCTCCGGACAACAGAGATCAGCTCCCCTGAAGAAAATGGCTGCATTGCGGGGTGGATCCTGCTCTCTCCAAACTTTGCTCTCTCCTTCTCTCTCCAAACTTTGCTCTCTCCAGGCTCCGCCCCCAAATCTCCAGGTATTTCCCAATCTGGAGTTGGCAACCCTACCTCCTCGCAAGGCCATGAGAAGAGGGCACATGGCTGAGTGGGAGAGGACCTCCTTTGTAAGTAGAAGGACGTGGGGTCCATCTTTGTCTGCCTTGTTAGGAAACATCTCATGGACGTGGACTTCAAAAGACTCCCCTGGACAGTCAGAAGGCCAGGAGCTCAGCTAGAGGATCTCATGGGGCCCTGCGCCAGCCTTCACGTCATCAAGGGAACAACGTTCCCATCTCACCCTGCACTTCAGGGTACTTCATGAGGATGAGAATCCCATAGAGGAGGGTGGTGTTGGTCGTCTCCGTGCCCGCAAAGAACAGGTTGTGGGTGGTCATCACAAGGGTGTTCGTGTGGAAGTAGGAGAGGGGATCCTCCTTTTCCTGTGGGACCAGAGGGAGAGAGAACATCCTTTACATGCGCAGGGAGACGGAAGTTGCTCCACACCCTCCAGGAATAAACTTGCATGCCCATATCATGTACCATGAGGATCTAGAACAGGGGTGTCGAACTCATTTGTTATGAGGGCCGGATCTGACATAAGTGAGACCTCGGTGGGCCGGGCCATGTGTGTCATAAAGTGTAATGTGGCGGAGATATAAACTTGACACAGAGAGTACTACAGCTTTCTGAGTTATACCTCTGAGGATGCTGGTCACAGTTACTGGCGAAACGTCAGGTTCTACAATGCTAAGACCACGGCCACACAACCCGGAAAATCTACAGCAACTAATGAACTCCGGCCATGAAAACCTTCGACAACGGGTTTTTTTAACTTAAAATAAAAACAGGCTTAAAACATTAGCTCTATAAGATGCAAACCTACTTTTGATTTGTTGACATTCGCCACAGAAATCTCATGCTCAGAGTTCTGAGTCTGGGACCCAGGTGAAAACATGAAATGGCTGAGTGACTGAGAGAGTCTGGCGAAGCAAGCTATGATGCAGCAGCAGCAGCATAACTGGAAGCAGGAGATGGCCAGTTCCACCGCGGGCCTGATGGAAGCCCTCCGAGGGCCTGATCTGGCCCCCGGGCCAAATGTTTGACACCCCTGATCTAGAAGCACATCAAGAACTTGTCCCTCAGATATGACTTCGTAAAGAATTCTCTGAGCTGCTTTGTCTAAAGCCACTTCTCACCAGAAGAGAAGAAGAAGAGATTGGATTTATACCCCGCCCTTCACGTGGAGTCTCAGAGTGGCTTACAAATTCCTTTCCCTTCCCCTCCCCACAACAGACACCCTGTGAGGTGGGGGGGGGCTGAGAGAGCTCTTGACACAAACTGCTCTTTTTCAAGGACAGCTGTGCCAGAGCTTGTGACTGACCCAAGGTCACATCAGCAGGTGCAAGTGAAGGAGTGGGGAATCAAACCCGGTTCTCCCAGATTAGAGTCCGCACACTTAACCACAACACCAAACCAGCATGCCAGCTCAAGCATAAACAGCCATCAAGTAAAACGGATGTGTACAGCTCCCGCTTCAACACTACAGACCGCCCACTATCAAAAGCCCTTGGAAGCAGGTTGAAATGTTAGAAGGAACTAAAACTCCCTTCCCTTAGACCCAGCTGGGCATTCTAACCCTCCTCCTTCTCCGCCCACCTGAGTCAGGAAATATTTAGGAACCAGAGGGGTGGGGGTGGCCCTTGAAATAACCTGATCCCCTCTCCGCACCTGCTGCATTTTGAGAAGGAAGCAGTCGATGAAATCGCGAGGGGAGTTGGGGTCCAGGGTCTCTTGGTGCGTCTTGACCATCTCCAGGACAAAGAGGCGCAACTTCTCAAAATTCTCCTTTAATCTGTTGTGGGGTCCGGGCAGGTAATACATGACACGAGAGAACACGTTATATAGCTGCAGAGAGAAAGAAGCAACATTGAGGGTATGGAGGATGCACCACACAGGTACGTGCGTGTCAGTGTGAAGGCGCCTGCCTTTTAGGGAGAAGGGATGAAGCTCCTGCTGATGGGTGGAACTAGGAATGCTTGCCTGTTTCTCACAGGTTTCTTCATTCGCTGAACTTCTAAAGCAACCCACTCACACGCATGCATACGCATTGGCTCAGGAATGAACCAACGCTAACGCAACACCCAGTCAGTACCCCCAAGTAAAATACCCATCAAAAATGTTATAATTATTAGTATCGTATGGCATAATGTGTAGTATAGCCAGGAGATCCTAAGATTGTCTGTCAGCCAGAAGTTCTAGCTTCCCTTAGTGTTATGCACCACATAGGTGGTGAGCTGGACCTGTTTTTAAGGCTTGCCATTTGCCTTGGACTGCAAGAAGATCAAATCAGTCAATCCTAAAAGAAATCAACCCTGACTGTTCCCTGGAAGGCCAGATAATGAAACTAAAGCTCAAATACTTTGGCCACCCACTGAGAAGGGAGCCCTCACTGGAGAAGACCCCGATGCTGGGAAAGACCAAAGGTCAAAGAAGACGGGGACGGCAAAGGATGAACTGGTTAGACAGTGTCATAGATGCAACGAACATGAAATTGAGCAAACTTCAGAGGACGGCGGAAGACAGGAGGGCCTGGCGTGATCTGGTCCATGGGGTCGCAAAGAGTCGGACTCGACTATGCGACTGAACAACAACAAAATTTCCTGCCTCTGCGTCACAACCCTGGTATTCCTTGGAGGCTGCCTTTCCAAATACTAGCCAAGGCCAACGCTGCTTAGCATGCAAGATCCATGAAATTGCTGAGCGGTCGGGCTAGAATGGATAAAAGAAAGTCCTTCTTCACCCAAAGAGTGATGAACACATGGAATTCACTGCCACAGGAGGTGGTGGCAGCTACAAGAATGGACGGCTTCAAGAGGGAATTAGATAAACATATGGAGCAGAGGTCCATCAGTGGCTATGAGCCACAAGGTCTAGATAGGAACTCTGGGGCAAGGGATGAAGTGATGCTCTGTATTCTTGGTGCTTGGGGGTGGGGGCAACAGTGGGAGGGCTTCCAGTGTCCTGGCTCACTGCTGGACCTCCTGATGGCACATGGCACTTTTGGTCTGGATGGGCCATTGGCCTGATCCAACTGTAGCTTCTCTTATGTTCCTATATTCTTATCTGATGAGATCAGTCTTAAGATCAGCCAAATCTTCCTTGTTCCTAGTTAAGAGAAGCTGTCCTGTTATGTATTAGGGCTGGAATATTCCAGGACTGGGTACCAGAGACTGGCTGAGCTTGAAGCTCTAGAACAATAGCCCACCAGGACTCTGGAGGTGACCAGTGAGAAACTAATGTTAAGTAAATTCCAGGGCTCTTTTTGTAGAAAAAGCCCACCAGGAACTCATTAGCATAATAGGCCACACGCAACAGCAGGAACTCATTAGCATATTGGGCCACACCCCTGACAGCACAGCTCATTAGCACATTAGGCCGCACCCACATGTTACCAGAAGTGTGGTTATCCAGCCACACCCACCTTTTGCTTCTTATTCTGTTGACCTTGTTTGTGGTCAAAACCCAGGGCCTTTTTTTTGTAGCAGGAACTCCTTTGCATGTTAGGCCACACAACCCTAATGTAGCCAATCCTAATGAGTTTCTGCTGTTGGGTGTGGCCTATTATGCTAATGAGTTCCTGCTGGGCGTGGCAAACTTGGGAGCCAGCCAGAAACTCCGTTCCTGTGCGTTCCTGCCCAAAAATAGCCTATCGTTGGGAGTTGGGTGTGCTTGGGTGTGGGTTTTTTCATGCTCTTTAAACAGGGCTGTCGCCCTGAGGTTTCAGTCTTGTTCCCGAAATGACCTAATAAAGTAGAGCTGTTCATCGCAATGCGTCTCGAACCCAGTACTTAATACGTCCCAAAGAATCCTGCCTCCTGAAAAAGCTCCCCCCTCAAAGGCTTTGCAGGACAGCCACTGAGAACATCTTACTCCATGCCGCCAGTGTGACGTTTAGAGTCCGCACACTTAACCACTACACCAAACCAGCACAACACCAGCTCAAGCATAAACAGCCATCAAGTAAAACGGATGTGTACAGCTCCCGCTTCAACACTACAGACCGCCCACTATCAAAAGCCCTTGGAAGCAGGTTGAAATGTTAGAAGGAACTAAAATTCCCTTCCCTTAGACCCAGCTGGGCATTCTAATCCTTCTCCGCCCACCTGAGTCAGGAAATATTTAGGAACCAGAGGGGTGGGGGTGGCCCTTGAAATAACCTGATCCCCTCTCCGCACCTGCTGCATTTTGAGAAGGAAGCAGTCGATGAAATCGCGAGGGGAGTTGGGGTCCAGGGTCTCTTGGTGCGTCTTGACCATCTCCAGGACAAAGAGGCGCAACTTCTCAAAATTCTCCTTTAATCTGTTGTGGGGTCCGGGCAGGTAATACATGACACGAGAGAACACGTTATATAGCTGCAGAGAGAAAGAAGCAACATTGAGGGTATGGAGGATGCACCACACAGGTACGTGCGTGTCAGTGTGAAGGCGCCTGCCTTTTAGGGAGAAGGGATGAAGCTCCTGCTGATGGGTGGAACTAGGAATGCTTGCCTGTTTCTCACAGGTTTCTTCATTCGCTGAGAGCATCTTACTCCACGCCGGTGTGACGTGGACATCACCCAGGTAGCAAAAGTCACGCAGACACTCTGCACAACTGTGGTGGACACCATGAGGCAGCACAAGGGAAAGATACAAGACGTCGTTCACGGTGCTCAGTCTCCCAGCCCCTTGTGTGGGCATTCCTTAATGCGGCTGAATACATGTCTTCTGGTTGTGCATGAGCAATAAGGCGCTTTCCAAAGGGGGGGGCAGAGTCTCTGGGCAGGGAGGCGCCACTGAGACCTTCACTGACCTTTCCTCCGTCCCTCTTTCTACTCCCCTTCTAATGCCGGCCATCGCTCACCTGCACCTGCACCCAAGAGCTGCTTAGGTGGTGGAAGTTGTCGTTCATCAGGTCAACCAAAGTGAGGAATTTCTTGTCCTCGTAGTCAAACCGGTCCCCGAAGATGATGGAACAGGTGATGTTGAAGATGGCACGGCCGATGAGAGAAGTGGGGTCAACAGGCTCCGCTGGGGAAGCACCAAAAACGAACAGAGTGGGTCAGGAACCCCTTGACAAGGTTCAGACTGAGAGAGGAGGAGGAGGAGGAGGAGATTGGATTTATACCCCATGGCCCTTCACTACCCGAAGGCATCTCAGAGTGGCTTACAAGCTCCTATCCCTCCCCCTCCCCACAACAGACACCCTGTGAGGTAGGTGGGGCCGAGAGAGCTCTTTCGAGGACTGCTCTTTCACAAACAGCTCTGACAGAACTGTGGTTTGTCCAAGGTCATCCAGCAGCTGCAAGTGGAGGAGTGGGGAATCAAACCCAGTTCTCCCAGATTAGAATCCGCGCACTTAACCACGACACCAAACTGGTTAGTCAGGATGTGAGCAGTTATAAAGTATTTCAGTTTATAGACTATAATGATGTTTTTATCATTTTCTCAGCTGAGGTCTAGATATGACATGTCAACTTCTGTTGAATGGCAATATTTACAACTGAACTTCTGCTGGGTACCTAATACGACCCTGTGGCATTATAGTCCGAGAGTCACCTTTGTGCCTATAAACTCTAACTGAATCAATGCAGAAAACAAAACCTACAATATATGTTTATAAATATTTGAAGTCAGTTAATAAATATGATATGCAGAGTCTCAGGAATGATTGGAATAAGCAGCTGGAACATCCTGTTTGGCCAAAGCAATGGGACATGGCCTTAAAGCATATACCTGATCTTTCTATGGACTTAACCTGTGACTCATTGAGCAAAAATTATGTTTAGGCTATACTGGACACCACAACAAACCTTTAATAAACAGTTGAGTAGAGTATCTAATTGATGGTATTGTAACTCACAGGAGAAGTCCCTTAAATGTATGGAAGATGAAGAAGAAGGAGGAGGAGGAGGAGGAGGAGATTGGATTTATATCCCGCACTTCACTCGGATTCTCAGAGCAGTTTACAAACTCCTTTCCCTTCCCCTTCCCACAACAGACACCTCATGAGGTAGGTGGGCCTGAGAGAGCTCTGACAGAAACTGCTCTTTCTAGGACAGCTCTGACCGAACTGTGGCTTGCCCAAGGTCATCCAGCAGCTGCAAGTGGAGGAGTGGGGAGTCAAACCCCGTTCTCCCAGATTAGAGTGTATCCAGTCATTTGGTTTGATTCCCAAATGACCACCACCTTTGATTCTGTATGAATTTGCCTGAGCTTTAAGATTTGTTTTTGGTGTCGTAGTTAAGAGCGGCAGGATCAAATCCGAAGAACTGGGTTTGATTCCCACACCTCCTCCACATGCAGCCAGCTGGGTGACCTTGGGTCAGTCACAAGTTATCTGAGAGCCGTTTCTGTCAAGAGCTCTCTCAGCCCCACCCACCTCACAGGGTGTCTGTGGTGGGGAGGGGAAGGGGAAGGAGTTTGTAAGCCGCTCTGAGACCCCGAGTGAAGGGTGGGGTATAAATCCAATCTCTTCTTCCTTTGCAATGGCTCGGCAGAGCACAGTCAGAGCATCTCTTCACTCCCTGCATTCAGTCAAATAATTTCCCAGGGTGGTTGGATTGAGGGTAATCTAATTTGCGGATCTGGCTGGGTTGCAGCTTGGTGAGCCGCTCCGAAGCAGAGAAGATGAGGTGGGATAGAAATATTTTCAGTCCGCAAGTACGTGAGAGTCCAACGACAGTCGGATGTAAAATGCGTCTGCTGCCCTGACTTGCTGCTTCCCTGCGGCACTTCCCGCCCCTCACCTTTGGTCTTGGCAAACTCTTCCACCATGCACCCGGCCTCCTCTTGGATCCGCTCCTCAATGCGGTGCCGACCCATCCCGAATCCACGCAGCGTCTGTATGGCAAAACGCCGCAACGCCTTCCATTTCCCACCGTGAGAAAACACGATCCCTGGAGGAGTGCAGAAGGGGGGGGGAGGGGGTTTAAGAAGGAGAGGCCAAAAATAATGAATAGGGTTAATTTGGGCTGTAGAAAGTTAGTTTTGGTCACATTGCAAATTGAATGGTTTCTGGTGCACCTTATTAATGATGATTTTGTTTATATCTTTATATGTATAGTTATTTCGTTATATATACATGGTGGGTTTAAGGTGTTTTTGATAGATGGAACAGGGAAAGTAATTTAGAGTTAAAGATTGGAGTAGAGTTAAAGATTGGAGTATGAACCAGTAGTATAAAGTTCAAATGGGGATAATTAAGAAGTGTTTGCGTAACCTTGCATTTTTGCAAGTGAAAATTGTGAGAATCTTACATAGGGAGTGTAAAGTCTATAGAAGATGGCTAAAGTAAAAAATGCAATAAGCAAGTTTTTCTGGTGTATGATAACTTTTTAGAAAGGCGTACAGAAAGTGTTGATTTGTGTATTTGGCTTCTATATATAAGAGTTGAATTTATGGTACGTGTTATGATATATTGATAACAGTTTGTAGGATATTTATGTATCTAGATTGTTACGTAGGCTGTATGTTTGTATGTGTGGCATATTGAAAACCCAATAAACATATTTAAAAAAGGAGAAGGAGAAGGAGAGGCCAGCTGGTTCCAGTCTTTTCACGGGACCATCAGAGGACTCCACAGAGGCCGGCCGGTCATCTTTTCTCCCCGGGAGGAAGCCAAGATGCTTACCATCCCCTTGTGTGAACTGGGTTATCATTGGGAAGTCCCCGCGCCCGCTGAAGTCCTCTCCTTGGTCCACCAGGGCCTCCTTCACAGCCTGGTAGCCACACAGCACCACGAATGGCTTGGATCCCAAGTATACGGTGTAAACGGAGCCGTATCTCTCTCTCAGCTAGAGACACACAAGGAAAAAAACCTGTTGTCCTACCGTTTAACCATGATGTGCAAGAAGATCTGAAATAAAGCAGTTTCTAAACTTGCGCAGCGATACCGAGAACCCCTCCGAAGCAGAGGAAGAGCTCTCTAGCCCTCTGTGGTCAGAACCAGTGTTCCCTCTAA